TAATTATTTTGTCAGTAATTTAATTAATCAACAAACGTTATATCTTAAACATAGGGAGGTAAATCGATCAATCGAATTAATATTATATAATCATGGAGGCTCAATTTTATTGGTAAAATAGGTGCTAAATGGGGAGAGCAATAATATTACTCTAGTTGGATGTTTTATCATTTAATTCCATTAAATAGGAATTAATTTTATTCCATATTAATTGATTTAATTAGGAGAATAAAGTTCCTACTAGAATCTTCTCTTGGGATTAGGAGACTTGGGAGTCTTCTGGAAGATGGAGATTAGTAGGAAATATATTTCCTACATTATATTATTATTTGGAGTAAAATTAGGTTTCCTAAATTAGGAATTAATTCTATTCCATGATTATTAATTTAATTAGGAAAGATATTCCTACTAGGATCCTCTCTAAAGTTAGGAGACTAAGCAGTCTTCTAGAAGAGATGGATTAGTAGGAGATCTCCTTCCTACATTGAGTTAGTATTGGATAAGAATTAGGATTCCTAGGCCTAATGGAATAAGCTCATATTTAGCACCTCCTTAAGGTCCCTTATGGAGCCTATAAATACACCATGTCCCAACCTCTCCTACATAGATGGTTTTGGCCGAAGTTTCTCTATACATACGCGTGAGAAATATCTTTGTTCGAGAGTTAGGGAGATTCGATTAAACGCTCCACCAAGTATGGTTGATGTAGGTGTTTAGGTAATCCATTAGAAGGCTTTTTGGTACAATATATTGAGCCTTTATATTATATATAGTTCCGGTCATCTTCATCACATCATCACCGCCGGAATCCGTCGTCCGCCGCCGTGAGGAGTCGCCGGAAATCGCCTACCGCCGCCGGAAGTCAGCCGAGCCCAGCCGATCGCAACCGCGGGTCATCATACTAGACAGGCCCGACGCCAACTCCCAGCAGCATCCGCTAGCGACGCCCGTTAGGTCCCAGGGTCACCTGCTCGTTGCCGATCGCCCGCGCACCTCCCCAGTTGTCGTTCGTGCATCTCCAACACGCAAGGAGTACGCGTGTACCATCCAGCGAACGCCGAGAAGTCTTGCTGCTCATGCCCGCGTGGTCCCAGACGCCAGCGCCAGTCCGCCTCGTCATAGGAGTAGCACACCGCGTGAACGCACACGCCCAGCGTCCACCCGTGCATCGCCTGCACCCCGCGCGTCCCGCTCAGTGCCCGAAGCACACACACGCTCGCTGCCAACGCTCGTCCGTGTTCCCAGCATCTCTCCGCGTGTCTGCTCAGCGGCCGACGCACCCAACCGAGCTGCTGCTCACCCGCGACCGACGCCCGCTGCAACCCGACGCCGAGACCGAGCCACCGTGCAACCGTGATCCGTTTGACGTGTCGATTAGAATCGACTAAAGGCCAAACCTATCCGCCCATTAGGTTGTTGTGTTCAGACGAGCTTCATCAACGGTACTCTACATCGTCTCAGAGTCTGCAAAAATTTTAAAAGGTAAACGTCCATATCCTTACAATAGATTCCGCTGCGTTAGGATTTATTTCGATAAGTTCAATACTGTGCATGTTGTTTGACGTTACTAACAGAACCCAAAAACTGGTATCAGAGCCCAGGCTTAATGCAAACTCGTGCACAATTTGAATTTTGGACTTTGCCCGTCTACATAAATTATGTGCGTACGGACGCAGCGACATAGTAGATTAAAAATTGCAGTAAGTTTTTGTAGGTTTTTGAATCCGCTATTGTGGCCCGTATGTATGGATTTTAATTCATGTTGAATGTATGCTGTTTTTAAAGCCTTGGACATGTCAAGGAAGTTTTGGGTTGGTGAATGCTTGTAATAAATTATTCGCGCGGTGGGACACCACATAGTTTATTGCTTTCATAAAAACTCACGTACGGCTCCTGCGTGGGTCATAGGATGAATTATGTAATTGTTGTTTATATTATTCGTTATTAATCCGGCGGGCGTGGACCAACCTTGATGGGGCGAGGCGATAAACACGTACACTGATGCTAACTTTTCCAGAGACAACCAATTCAGTGGGAGTCACTGCGAAAGGGGAGTTCCAATCCCTGAAACGGAGGACACACTCAACAAGGATAGGACTGTGTTTTCTCCGTAACAGTGGAGATTGATTAATGGCCATGATAGTTGGATTATAGTTCCTAGTTTATTATTGATCATTAATCATGTATGTTTTATGTGATTGCTTATGTGCAAACACAAACATGTTTTTAAAAATCCCATAAAATAAAAATTATATTACGTGTGCAATGGGTTGAAATAAATTACATCCAAGGCCTCCATTATTTGTTTGTCAGTGAAGTGATTTAATACGAGCCCAAAGAACGTTTTATTTCACAGTTCACAAGGACGAATCTCCTTCGGGATGGTTATAGTGAGCAATTTCAAAAGCGTACGGGTCACCCAAAGGTGGACGTATAATTTTGGTAGTAAACTTAGTACCAATTAATGGGTTACACTTAAAGTGCAAATAATTACGACAGTCCCAAAGGATAAGGTCGTTTTTATTCTTTTATAAAGTTAATTGCGCTGGCTAAAAGATGAAACCGACTATTAGTTAAGTATTTCTCGGCAGTATGTTAAGCTAATGAGTTTTATCCCTCCTCTTGTGAATGTTTGAACCGTAGACGTCCACACTCCGTGGCCTGCGGGGATTCGGTGTTTTGAGGTGTTGGTGAATTTATTTGAATGTTGTTACATGGGATCAATATTTGATGTATAAATTCGAAATTACTTGACTGAGTAAAGACTAAGTTTGCATGATCCCAGGAATTCAAAATGTCTTTCAATCTGTTGTCCGTAATTCTCAAAGAAAACAAACTTGTTGGTCCCAATTATATTGACTGGAAAAGGAACTTGGATATTGTGTTAACTGCTGAAGGGTACAAATTTGCTACTGTTGAGGCTTGTCCGGCTGTACCTGCTGACAATGCACCAGACCTATAGAAAGAGGAGTATGCTCGGTGGAAAAAGGCTGACGAGATGGCGAAGTGTTACATCTTGGCATCTTTGTCAAATGTACTTCAACATCAACATCAGTCTATGAACACTGCAGCAGAGATGCTTCTCAATCTCAAGGAGTTATTTGGTCATCAGTCACGGGCTGCCCGACAAGAAACCAAGGAGTTATTTGCTTCTCAATCTCAAGGAGTTTCTGATGAACATGACCATGCGCGAGGGCACTCCCGTAAGGGAATATGTTCTTGCTATGATGGCCCAGCTGAATGAGCTGGAGGTTCTTGGGGCTTTTATTGACGGGGAAACCCAGGTCGATATAGTGCTCTAGTCTTTTCCCAAGAGCTTCGAGCAATTCCGGTTGAATTACAAAATGAATAAGATGTTGATGACTTTTCTGGAACTTGTCTCTGAACTTCAGTCGACAGAGGGCCTGTTTCGTCAGAAGAACCAAGCTATGGTGGCCCAGCGGGGAGAAGCTTCCACTTCTAAGGCTCCTAAGGGCAAGAAGAGGAAGAAGTCCGCAGGAAAGGGCAAGGCGGTCATGAGTGACGCACAACCTCGACAAAAAGCAAAGAAGCCAAAAGGCAAGTGCCACAATTGCCAGCAGAAAGGACACTAGAAGGCAAACTACCCTTTCCCCAAGACGTCTGATAAAGGTACACCTTTTGCTTTGGTCGTTGAAACATGTTTAGCAGTGTTATCTACCAGTACCTGGTGTGTAGATACAGGAGCCACTGATAATGTCTGCAATTCATTGCAGGGGTTCCAGGAAACCAAGCGACTTAGAAAGGAGAAGTTACCATCTACTTGGGCGATGCTAATAGAGCGTCTGCAGTTGCAGTGGCAGACGTCTATTTAGATTTTGGCTTAGATAGGTTTCTAGTTTTGAAATATTATCTTTATGTTCCTTGTTTTAGAAAGAATTTGATTTCAGTTTCTAAGTTGTTTATGACCGATTTTTCTGCTACGTTTGATAATAAAGTTGTTATTCGTTTTGGTAAAAAGTTCATATGTTCTGGTTCATTAGTTGACAATCTATACATTCTAGAATGTAAGTCATCTCCACTGCAATAGAAACAATTACTTAATTCATCATCTAATCTGAATAAGAGAATGGAACCTTCTAAAATCAACGAAACATATCTTTGTCATATTAACCTTAGGAGGATTCAAAGGTTGGTAGCAGATGGGCCCTTGGGGTCGTTAGAAGTCGAGGCTTTTCCAAGTTGTGAGTCTTGCTTGGAAGGTAAAATGACTAAGAGGGTTTTTAGTTCAAAGGGGCATAGAGCCGAAGATATGTTAGCGCTAGTTCATTCCGATCTATGTGGGCGTATTAGTATTCAAGCGAGAGGTGGTTTTGAGTACTTCGTTACATTTATCGATGATTACTCGAGATATGGGTACATTTTCCTTCTGCACCGCAAGTCTGAATGCTTTGAGAAGTTCTTGGAGCATGAGGCAGTTGTGGAGAAGCAGTTAGAAAAAAGTATCAAGTCATTACGATCCGATCGTGGTGGCGAATATCTCTCGAATGAATTTAGGAACTACTTGACGGATAATGGGATTACGTCCCAGCTGACTGCGCCTGGCACGCCTCAGCAGAATGGCGTAGCAGAACGGAGGAACATGACTCTTATGGAATTGGTTAGGGCAATGATGAGTTATAGTACATTACCAGATTCGTTTTGGGGATATGCCCTAGAAACAGCGGTATACATTCTGAATAGAGTACCTTCTAAATCAGTAACGTCTATACCATTGGATTTGTGGTCTGGGCATAAGCCTAGTCTAAGGCATCTCAGGATTTGGGGTAGTCCAGCACATGTGCTGAGAACCGATACTGATAAGTTGGAACTGAGATCAGAAGTAAGGTTGTTTGTGGAATATCCTAAGGAAACAAAAGGTGGTCTATTTTATAGTCCCGAGGACCAAAAAGTAATCGTTAGCACGAATGCTAGGTTCTTGGAATAAGACTATGTCTTAGATCATAAGCCCAGTAGTAGACATGTTCTTGAGGAGTTTAAAGGAAGTGAGTACTTCAATACCGAGTGCGCTAGATGTTACACCACAAAGTACTGCAACACGTATCGCTAATGATGCACCTGAGCAGGTAGTACCTCACCGTAGTGGAAGGGTTATTCGGCAGCCCGAACGGTTCATGGGTCTGGGAGAGTCTTCTGAGGCCGTCCTAGACATTCTTGAATCTGACCCATGGACATACAATGAGGCACTCCAAGATCAGGACGCAGAGTCTTGGCAAAAGGCGATGAAATCTGAAATAGTGTAAATGGACACTAATCAGGTCTAGGATCTTGTAGAGCCACCCAGTGGCGTTCGCGCCATTGGATGCAAGTGAGTCTATAAGAGAAAGAGAGGAGCCGATGGGAAGGTTGAGACCTTCAAAGCTAGGCTTGTTGCAAAAGAGTACACTCAGAAAGAAGGTATCGATTATGAGGAACCTTTCGCCGGTAGCCATGCTCAAATACATCAGGATTCTCTTGGCTGTGGCCGCTCATATGGATTATGAGATTTGGCAAATGGATGTTAAGACCGCTTTCCTTAACGGGAATTTGGACGAGGACATCTATATGCAGCAACCAGAAGGATTCATTGCAAAGGGACAAGAGCATCTGGTCTGCAAGCTAAAGAGGTCCATTTATGGGCTAAAGCAGGCTTCGAGGTCTTGGAACATCTATTTTGACGAGGTTGTCCAATCGTATGGATTTACCCAATGTCCAGATGAGCACTGTGTGTACAAGAAAAGTGATGGAAACGTGGTGGTGTTTCTAGTGTTGTACGTGGATGATATTCTTCTCATTGAAAACAGTGTAAAGACGTTATCAGACGTAAAGGTATGGTTATCCAAGCAGTTTGATATGAAGAATTTGGGAGAAGTGGGACATGTTCTCGGAATCAAGTTCATTCGTGACCGAGAGAAGAGAAAGTTGTGCCTATCCCAATCCACATACATAGACATTGTCCTAAAGCGTTTCAACATGCAGGATTCCAAGAAAGAGGATATACCCTTTCGGCACGGAATACCTCTATCTAAGAGGATGTCACCGAAGACGCCTCAAGAGATAGAGGACATGAAGGCAGTTCCTTATGCATCGGCAGTAGGAAGCCTCATGTATGCTATGTTGTGCACGCAACCTGATATTTGTTATGTCATGGTCATGGTAGCAACATATCAAAGTAATCCAGGACCGGAACATTGGTCTGCGGTAAAGCATATACTCAAGTACCTACGTAGGACTAAGGAGTACATGTTGATTTACCAGTCAGATGAATTGCTTCTGTTGGGTTACACCGATTCTGACTTCCAGGCTGACCGGGACGAAAGCAAGTCAACCTCAGGGTTTGTGTTTACTTTAGGAGGATGAGCCATAGTATGGAGGAGTGTCAAGCAGAAATGCGTGGCGGACTCAAGCATGGAGGCTGAGTATGTAGCAGCCGCAGAGGCAGCGAAAGAAGCTGTCTGGCTCAGGAATTTTCCCCTCGACCTTGATGTGGTACCGAGTTTGCCCGCTACGATTACAGTGCTCTGTGATAACATCGGAGCAGTAGCAAATTCAAAGGAGCCACGGACTCATAAAGCGAGTAACCACATAGAGCGCAAGTACCATCTGATACGAGAAATCGTTAGACGAGGAGAAGTCGTTTTTTCCAAAATACAATCAGAGGACAACCTAGCAGATCCTTTTATGAAGTGCCTACCGGCGAAAGTCTTTACAAGACACGTAGAAGGAATGGGAGTCAGATGCTAGGGCGATATAATAGACTAGTCTTTGAGAATTAGATTGAAAGAAATTGTGGTTATTTTGTTTAGCCATGAGCTTAGAAAGCATAAATGGGAGATTGTTAGAGGTATGTTGTAAAAGCTATGTTTTGTAGTTTCTATCAATTCCATTTTGATCTGGCCATCATGTTTCGGTCAAAGTACATATATTTGCAGTTTATTTATATATGCAATACATACTCCATGTCTTATATTGAGGTAGTGTGGTTTGAAGTGTTTCGAACAGAAAGATCACCTATCGGTTTCTTTTAAGACTAAATCATTCGTTCACAGTCTAGACTGGCAGTGAGACCCCACTTGGAAAAAGACTGTAGTGTATTCTTGATTCCGTTGGTATTTGACTGGAGAATTACACTAGCACTTATGTTAAGTCTTGAACAGGACCACAGAAGGCAAAGGTTATGAGACTCACTGACCGTAGTTGTAACCTCGTCCTTCAGTGATTGATGCGTTCTCTTAAGCCGTAAGATAATATAAAATAGGCATATATTTTTATTTCTTATTTATTTGATTTACCAAGTGATTCCTATTTTATTAGGATGATATACGAGGTATTTTGGTAAGTAAGAATAATTATATCATGTGCTATTATAAATTACTTATGGTCACTATGTTCCAGTGCGCTGGATTGATGATGTCCCCGAAATGAGCTCAGGAATGTACGTTATGTTAAACCCTGCAGGTAGACGATTGTCAGACATAATGGTTAAGGATCTGAGTGGTACTAATTTCAAAAATGAATAAGAAGTTGATTAATTATTTTGTCAGTAATTTAATTCATCAACAGACGTTATATCTTAAACATAGAGAGGTAAATCGATCAATCGCATTAATATTATTTAATCATGGAGGCTCAATTTTATTGGTAAATAGTGGCTAAATGGGGAGAGCAATAATATTACTCAAGTGGGATGTTTTATTATTTAATTCCATTAAATAGGAATTAATTTTATTCCATATTAATTAATTTAATTAGGAGAATAAAATTCCTACTAGAATGTTCTCTTGAGATTAGGAGACTTGTGAGTCTTCTAGAAGATGGATGATATGGGATATTATATACACAAAGCTAAACCAAGAGGGAGTCAAGCCAAAAGGCGGGAAGATCGAACGTTCAGGGAATCGACCAGACTAACGATCGAGCAGTCCACCGCACGACCAGAATAATGATCGAGCAACCCATCGCTCGACTAGATACATGATCGAGTATCCTATTCGACCTCAACAGGTCGATCGCTTCGAGGAACTAACAGTCGGCCTAGTCATGGGTGCGTGTATCACGGGCGCACGTGAGAGCCTCTAACTAAGTCCCAGGAGAATATTTACCCCATGTGCAGGGGGGGGCACGTGTCGACAATGTATTGGGTGATAGCGATAACCACCTCTGACAGCTCCCAACACCCCGCGCCACCTCTGACATGAGCGCGGCGTGCCAGAGTACAGACGGGCAGCTTGGGCAGCCAACTCATCCTTATCCGGGCAGCTATTAGGGCAGGTATCTCACCCCTATATAAAGGGAGTGAGCCTTTTTCCTAGAATTCATTCTATTTTCCATACTTCACTTCAATATACTCATACACATACTGACTTAAGCATCGGAGGCTCTTCACCGGACACAACCCCCGGTGTGAGGTTGTTTGCAGGTTTCCGGCGTTCTACCGGCGAGGACCAAGATCTATCCGTTCAAACCGGACCAGGACGCTTACACTTGCATTATTGGCGCCGTCTGTGGGGAGTTCTTTGTTCAAAAAGTTGTGTTTGAAGCTCAACTATGGCGGACGGAATTCCTAAAAACTTGCAGTCGACGTTCGACGAAGCTTGGACGACGACCAGGCCATTGGGGCACGGCCCTCCTTCGGGTTTTTCCAGCCCACCGCAGACTCTGATCACTCTCGCACCTAATCTTCAAGGCTTAGGAGTGACGACGGCGATTCCCGAAGGAGACGCCAGCTCCAGTCGGGCCCAGGAGGCTCGTGTAGCAGCAGCAGCGGCGATGCCACCACCACCACCACCAGATCTAACACAAGGGCAAGGAGGAGTGCTGGCGCAAGGAGGAGTGCCACCACAGGCAGCCATACAAGCCCCCGACCAACAAATGGTGGCGATGACCCGAGAAGAGATGCAGAGGATAGCGACGGCCGCGGCGGCGCAGGCGGTGCAGCAAGTTGCGAGTCATACATCTCATGCCACCACTGCGCCGACCAGTGTGGCCGAGAGCCAGGATGAGAATGTGTCCAGTTATGGAGAAGGAGGTGCTGGAAGAGATCGGGCAATGGAGAGGATGGCGGAGCAGTTGCGTCAGCTGCAAGATAAGGTGGAGGGGAGGCCAGAGAGGAGAGCTCGAGGACAACCCTTTTCAAGGGAGATTCTCGCTGCTCCTTTGCCAAACAATTTCAAGGAGACCCACTTGGTGTATGACGGGTCATCTGACCCATCGAGGCATGTGAGGACCTTTGAAAATATGGCTGTGTTGCATGGGTACTCTGATTCTGTTTGTTGCAGGGCATTTTTATCGACCCTACGTGGGGGAGCACTCGATTGGTTTCATCAACTTCCACCTGGGTCGATCGCGAGCTTTGAGGATTTTACTGGCAAGCTTATCAATCAATATTCGAGCGCGGTGGTGCAGGAGAAAACGTATCTAACTTTGATGGCAATGAGGCAGGGGGAGAAGGAATCATTAAGGAAGTACGTTGCCCGATATAACCAAACATGTTTAGAGGTGCACTCGGCTTCGGACGAGGTGAAGGTGGGTGGATTGATAAGGAGTCTTCGAGCAGGGCCTTGTCGAACTTCCCTAGCAAAAACCCATGCTCGATCATATGAGGATGTGCTGAAGCGGTGCAGGAAGTATATTAACTTGGAGAAGATGGAGATGGAGTTTGCAAAGTTGGAAGGAGTGGCTCGACCAGAGTCAAAAAAGGAGAAAAGTCCGCAGAGGAGGAGATCGCCGAGGAGGAATTCGCCTAAACGGAGTGGGCAGAAGAGGGCATCACCCCGAAGAGAGAGTCGAGATTCGAAAAGGGAGAAGAGGGATGAGTGGCAGAGGAGGCCGATGTTGTTCGAGAGACAGAGATACCACACTTTCACGTCCTTGAGGAAAGACATGACGGAGGTCCTCGAGGCCATGGAACAGAAGATGTCGAGTGAGGATGTGACTTGGCCGAAGACGAGGTTTACGGGCCCAATTCGACCTAGGTCAGATATTTACTGTCGCTTTCACCGAGATTATGGCCACACCACGGAGAATTGCAGACATTTGAAAGATGAGATCGAGAGGCTGATTCGAGCGGGATATTTGAAAGAATTTGTGTATCATGACAGGGTGAAAGGGAAAGGAAGGAGACGGTGTAGGGAAGACTCGGAGGAGAGGAGTGATAGAGATGAGGAGGGAGATGGTCGAGACGGTCGAGGAAAGAAGCCAAGGAGAGCTGATGATAAGGGAGGGCATGGAGGAGAGGCCCGATGAAGAGAGGAACGATTTATATGATTTCTGGTGGGCCAACGGGCGGTGACTCAAATAGGGCCAGGAAGGAGCACGCTCGAGCGGTGAAGAGAAAGAGAGAGGAGGTGGGGATTACAGCCCGTATGCCGGTGATAAGTTGTAAGGTGGAGGATGCTGAGGGGGTGGTCCTGCCGCACAATGATGCTTTGGTAATAACCGTGGAGGTCGCAGGCTTCGATGTGAAGAGGGTATTCATTGACACTGGGAGTTCGGTAGATGTGATGTTCTATGACTGTTTTGTGCAGATTAACAAGGAGCTGAATATGGAGCTGAAACTGGTGACCGCGGCACTTTATGGCTTTAATGGGGGAGAAGTTATGCCGATGGGAGAGGTCAGTTTGCCCGTGGCATTGGGATCAAGAGAGTTGAGGAAAGTGCGCATGGTGAGATTTGTGGTTGTAGGGGCTGAGTCGTCCTATAACATCATTATGGGGCGGACGAGCTTGAATGCATTCCAGGCGGTCGTATCCACGTACCACATGACGATCAAATATCCGATGGGCAAAAACGTAGGGGAGATTGTCGGGGATCAGCTCACTTCGAGAAGTTGCTACCAAACAACACTCAGCAATAACAAGCAATTGGCAAAGAGGCAGGCCGAGTCAAAGGGGAAGGAGATTAATCGACCAGGAGGATCAAGGTCGAAGGAGGATAAGCAGAAAGTGGAGAAAGGTAAGGAGAAAATGGATATCCAACCTGGGTAAGAAATTGAGGAGATTCAAATGATCGAGGGGTGTGAAGGGAGAAAGTTCAGGATCGGAAAGGATCTGGAAGAGCCTATTCGGTCGAGGCTAATCCAGTTGGTTAGGGAGTTCGCTGATATTTTTGCTTATACAACAGAGGAGTTAACGGGAATAAGTGCGGAAGTGATCGAGCATCGACTAAACATCGACCTCAGCGTGAGGCCGGTGAAGCAGAAAAGGAGGCACCATGGGGCGGAGATGGACAAGATCATCGAGCAGGAGGTCGAGAAACTGTTGGGAGCACGGCATATTAAAGAGATTCAGTTCCTCGAATGGCTGTCAAACACTGTGATGGTGTTGAAGGCGGAAGGGAAGTGGAGGATGTGCATCGATTTCCGTGATCTGAACAAGGCATGCCCGAAGGACTTATATCCACAGCCTAGAATTGACCAGCTGGTCGACTCAATGGCAGGGTGCGAGCTGTTGAGCCTGATGGATGCCTCCCAGGGATACCATCAAATTCCCTTGGCGATAGAGGACAGGAAGCGGGTGAGTTTCGTAATGAGTCGAGGGACCTATTGTTACGTTGTCATGCCGTTCGGCCTAAAGAACGCGGGCGCCACGTATCAAAGGTTGGTCGATAAAATCTTTAAAGAACAACTAGGGAGGAACATGGAGGTGTATGTGGATGATATGTTGGTGAAAAGTAAGGAGGAGTTGGACCACGTGCGAGATTTGAAAGAAACGTTCTTAACATTACGGAGGTATGAGATGAAGCTGAATCCTGCTAAATGCTCTTTTGGGGTGAGGTCAGGAAAATTCTTGGGTTACTTGGTGACCAAGAGAGGAATTGAAGTCAATCCAGAGAAGGTGCAAGCTGTGATGGAGATGAAGTCGCCGACGAATGTTAAAGAGGTGCAAATCTTAGCTGGTCGAATTGCGGGGCTGAGTCGTTTCATATCGAAGGTGGCGGAGAAGAGCGGCCCATTATTCAAAATGTTGAAGAAGAGTGCGAAATTCCAATGGACGGAAGAGGCACAGAAGGCATTCGAGGAGTTGCGAGGGGTACTGGCCAACCTCCCATTATTGGCTAAACCCATGCAGGGCAAAGAGCTGGTACTATACATTTCTATTGGAGAGAGGGCTGTGAGTTCGGTGTTGTTACGGGAGGAAAGGATGGCGCAATTTCCTATCTACTATGTGAGTAGAGTGATGCAGGGGGCCGAGACGAGGTATTCGGAGATTGAGAAGTGTGCTCTAGCTGTGGTTGTAACTGTTCGAAAGTTAAGACCTTATTTCTTGAATCATAAGGTGAAGGTGCGGACGGATATGCCACTAGAAGAAACACTTGGTCGGCCATCAGTCTCTGGTCGATTGGTGAAGTGGGCGGTCTAATTGAGTGAATATTCTTTGATGTACGAGCCAAGGAGGGCCATAAAGGCACAGGTGTTGGCTGACTTTATCCAGGAGGGCACGAAAGTCGAGGAGGAGTCAGAGGGATTATGGCAATTGTTTGTGGATGGATCTGTGGCCCGAAGTGGGGTAGGATTGGGAATTGTCCTTGTCTCTCCCAAAGGCAATTACTTGGAGTTTGCAGCTAAAGTGGGGTTCAAGATATCCAATAACGAAGCTGAGTATGAGGCAGTGATTAAGGGCTTGAGTCTAGCCAAAGCAGGAGGAGCTCAAAAATTACAAGTGCATTCCGATTCTCAACTGGTGGTTGGGCAGTTTCAAAAAGGGTTTGAAGTCAAGGGGGATCGGATGCAAAAATATGTGGATGAGATGAAGAAGTTGAGAGAGGAGTTTGATTCGTTCGAACTAATACAAATTCCTCGAGGAGAGAATGGTGGAGCAGACCTATTGTCGAAGATTGCTCAGAGCCTGGTTGATTGCAAGAGTAGAAGTGTCACTCTGTTGCATCTTGAAAAGAGTGTGATCGAAGCAGAGGTGGCGGAGATCGAGGAAGTGGAGGATTGTAGGGCCCCGATCTTGGAGGAGCTGAGAGGAGGAGTGATAAAGGTGGTTAGGAGGTTTTTTGAGCATGAAGGCATTCTTTACAAACGATCATATGGCGGACCACATTTGCGTTGTGTTACTAAGGAAGAAGGTCGATACGTGCTAAGAGAGATGCACGAAGGGTGTTGCAGTGACCATAGTAAGTCAGGGGCCTTGGTCGCGAAAATTTTGAGGGCAGGATATTTTTGGCCGACGATGAGAGAAGATGCGAAGACGATGGTGAAGAAGTGCTTGCAATGCCAAAAGCACGGCCCGCTTATCCACCAACCGGCCGAAGCCATGACAACGATGAGTGCTCCTATACCATTCGCCCAGTGGGGTATCGACCTGGTGGGGCCGATGCCTCAGGGGACCGGGCAGAGGAAGTTCTTAATAGTGGCAGTCGATTATTTCACGAAATGGGTGGAGGCCGAGCCCTTAGCGAAGATTACAGAGGAGAAAGTAAATAAATTCATATACAATAACATTTGCTGCCGTTTTGGTGTACCCAAAGTGTTGATTTCTGATAACGGCACTCAGTTCAATGGGAGGCGGATCTGAGCATGGTGTGAAAATATGAAAATCGAGCAACACTTTGCCTCCGTGGCGCATCCGCAAGCTAACGGCCAGGTCGAGGTAACCAATCGAATTATACTGAATGGGCTGAAGACAAAGTTGGAGAAGGCCTCGGGAGCATGGGTCGATGAGCTGAGCTCCGTACTTTGGGCGTATCGCACAACTCCAAGGTCGACCACAGGAGAAACCCCGTTCAGTTTAGCTTATGGAATGGAAGCATTGCTGCCGGTCGAGATCGAGTTATCTTCCCAGAGGTCGAGCACGTATAATGCTGAAACAGAACGAGGACCTGATGATGGTGGACTTAGATACTATCGAGGAGCTGCGGGGAGAGCAGCAATCAGGGTAGAGGTGTACAAACAGAGGATGCGAGCCGCTCATGACAAAAAGGTGAAAATTCGTAGACTCCAGGTCGGTGACCTGGTTTGGAAGCGTGTCGATGTACTCAAACATGTGGGAAAGCTGGAACCAAATTGGGAAGGGCCATACCTGGTCGAGCGAGTGCACGCAGGAGGAGCGTACTCACTCAAGGATGCTGAAGGCCGATCACTTGCCAGGTCAAGGAACATAGCTAATCTGAAAAAATATTGTCTCAAATTTTTTGTTTTTTTTTTTTAAGAAGCCTGGGAGCTCGAACAATGATGTAGATTTCAAAGTTTGTTAAAAGTCAATGAAATTCAGTGATTTTTTCGATTTTACCCGCTTTAGCGCACATTTTCTTATGCTTGGAATGTTGGCATAATTTGGATGACAGGATATATGTGGTACAGTCTGACTGGGGGGTCGCTTGTTTAGAACATTCCTTGGGGTGGGCAGATTGGTCGAAAAACCTCCTGTTTAGAACATTCCTCGGGGTGGGCAAGTGTGAAGACCAAAACCCACCATG